AAGGAAAACATGGTGATAAAGTGAAAACTGCTGACAGGATGAAAGAAGATGAAGAAATGAATGCAGCAAGAAAAGTAGCTGTGCTTTATTTTACAGTTTGTTAAAAGTTCGAAGTGTTACAATGAAAAAAATGTAACTGTGCAAAAATGAAATAAAGTTGCTATGGACTTAATTTGCTGAGTAATCATACGCTTAAAACAATTCCGCTTTAGAGAAGATCTTCTTTGACGCTGAGATAAATGGCCGGATCAGGTGGTTCGTTGTTGTTGTCTCTTTCCTCTTCAGCATCGTCCGGCATCTTCTTCTTCTTGAGATGCATACTGAGAATGTGACCGATGGCGTGATGACGACGTCCAAACTCTTTCGAGCAGCCGGGAAAGGTGCACCCAAATGGTTTCACTTTGGTGTGAGTTCGCAAGTGTCGCTTGAGATCGGCGTTGCTTATGAAGTGCTTGCCACAGTTTGGTTCAGTGCAGGGATGCTTTCCTGAATGAGTTGGCTGCTGATTGGAGGTACTTGGAATGTGAATGTTGGCAATGTCTGTGTCGAGAAGTGCACTGCTGCTGTCTACCAGTTCAGCGTCACCGCTACCACCAGCACCATCATCGATGTCCACGTCACCGTAACCATTCTCGTCATCAAGTGGACCATCAATCTGCAGTTCCACAGTGACCGCTTTCTTCTTGTCTGGCCGACTGTTGTAGTTTCCATCATTCTCGGCCATTCGCTTGTAAAGCCCCGAAAACGGCTGAGAAAGTGGAACTGAAGAAGAAGAAGAGGGAACCGGCTTGGAATTGGCTGCAAAGATCATCTTGCTTTTCGGACTTTCAGTGACTAGCAAACTGCTAGTTGCACCTTTGGCTGGAGTAGCATCGGTGGTGGTGGTGTTGGTGCTCTCAAAACCAGAAGATAAACCTTTTTTCGGCGGCAGCAGCATTTCCTTGACCTGTTCGACCATCTCCTCAAACAGTCCATCGACGATGGTCTCCATTGACTGGCGCAATCGATCCTTCACCAGAGCCTTTTTGCCCAGAAAAAACGAGTCCACGAAAGAATGCAACATCGAAGAGTTGTTTAGGGCCAGGTGGCTGCTTAAGGAAAACATGGTGACAAAGTGAAAACAGTAAACAGACAGGAAAGGGAAGATGACTCTAACAAAGAAGAAAGATGTGTTTTTGAAGTTTTTTATGCAGAGAAATTCAAAATGTTAAAATGCTAGAAAAGTTCTAAATGCTGAGTAATCATAAACAAAACACAACTTCATAGAAGCTCTTCTTTGACGCTAAGATAGGTTGCTGGATCGGGAGGTTCGTTGTTGTTCTCGTTCCCTTCCTCATCATCTCCAGGCTTTTTCTTCTTCAAGTGCACATTGAGAATGTGGCGGAGGGCGTCGTGACGACGTCCAAACTCCAGAGAGCAGCCATCATAAGTGCAGCCAAAGGGTTTTGCCTTGTTGTGCGTTCGAAGGTGTCGTTTCAGATCAGCGTTACATTTGAAACTCTTAGAACAGCTGGGTTCAGTGCAAGGATACTTTCCTGATTGAGCTGGCTGGTGCAGCTCTTTGGAAGTACTTGGAAAATTGTCGATAGCGCCATCACTGCTGCTGTTCATCAGCTGTTCAGCGTAACTAGCATCACTAGCACCTTCATCGAGGACCACGTCACCATAGTCATTCTTATCATCAAGTGGGCCATCAATCTGCAGTTCCACTGTGACTGCTTTCTTCTTGTTTGGATGGCTGGTGTTGCTGCTAGTGCTAACGCCATCCTCTTCGGCCATTCGTTTGAAAAGACCAGAAAACGGTTGAGGAGCAGTTGAAGAAGGAGAGGGACCAGATTTAAACTTTGTTGCAAAAATCATTTTCTTTTTCAGATTTTCAGTGACTTGCAAACTGCCCGTTTCAGTTTTGGCTGAAGTAGCATCGGTGGTGGTGGTGGTGCTCTCAAAACGAGAAGATTTCACTTTGCCATTACTTGAACTTTCTTTCGGCGGTAGCAGCATTTCTTTGACCTGTTCGACCATCTCCTCAAACAGCCCATCGACGATGGTTTCCATTGACTGACGCAATCGATCCTTCACCAGAGCCTTTTTGCCCAGGAAAAATGAGTCCACGAAAGAGTGCATCATCGAGGAGTTGTGTAGAGCAAGGTGACTGCCCAAGGAAAACATGCTGACAAAGTGAAAACAGTAAACAAACAGGAAAGGGAAGATGAAATGACTTTAACAAAGAAGAAAGATGTGTTTTTTTAAATATTTTATGCAGTTTATAAAAGAAGTTCAAAATTTTATAATGCTAGAAAATGCTAAATGTTGAGTAATCAAAAACAAAGTTCTACTTCAAAGAANAGATGTGTTTTTGTAGTATTTTATGCAGTTTATAAAAGAAGTTCAAAATTTTAAAATGCTAGAAAAGTGCTAAATGCTGAGTAATCAAAAACAAAGTTCTACTTCAAAGAAGTTCTTCCTTGACGCTAAGATAGGTTGCTGGATCTGGCGGCTCGTGGTCGCCCTGTTTGCCTTCCTCATCTCCAGACTTTTGTTTCTTCAGGTGGACATTGAGTATGTGACGGATAGCGCTTTCACGACGTCCAAACTCAGAAGAACAGCCAGCATAGGTGCAGCCGAATGGTTTTGCCTTGTTGTGCGTTCGAAGGTGTCGTTTCAGATCAGTGTTAAATTGGAAGTGCTTGCCACAATTCGGTTCAGTGCAGGGATGCTTTCCTGATGGAGTGGGCCGCTGCTGATGCTGTTCTTCGGAAGTGTTTGGAAGGTGAATGTTGGCAATGTCAATGTTGTTTGCCAGTTCAACGTCACCGTTACCACCAGCACCTTCATCAAGGGCCACGTCAGCATAATCGTTCTCAGNGCATAGGTGCAGCCGAATGGTTTTGCCTTGTTGTGCGTTCGAAGGTGTCGCTTCAGATCGGCGTTAAATTGGAAAAACTTGCCACAATCCGGTTCAGTGCAGGGATGCTTTCCTGATGGAGTGGGCCGCTGCTGATGCTGATCTTTGGAAGTGTTTGGAAGGTGAATGTTGGCAATGTCAATGTTGTTTACCAGTTCAACGTCACCGCTACCACCAGCACCTTCATCAAGGGCCACGTCAGCATAATCGTTCTCGTCATCAAGTGGACCATCAATCTGCAGTTCCACAGTGACCGCTTTCTTCTTGTTAGAGTGACTGTTGCTGTTGCTGTTGATTCCCACGCCATCCTCTTCGGCCATTCGTTTATAAAGACCAGAAAATGGTTGGGCAGCAGCTGAAGTAGAGGGACCAGGTTTGGACTTGGTTGCAAAGATCATCTTGCTTTTCGGTGGCATTGAAATGTTCATTGGAGACTTGCTGGTCGATGATTTTGCTGGAGTATAAGTTGTTTTCCCAATACCAATAGGTTTCTCCTGATCATGGGCAGTTTTTGGAGGAAGTAGCATCTCTTTGACCTGTCCAACCATTTCTTCGAAAAGTCCATCCACAATAACTCTCACCGAGTCCATCAGGCGATCCTTTACCAGCGCCTTCTTTCCCTCAAAAAAGGAGTCCATCAGCGAGTGCACCACTGAAGTGCTGTTTAGGTTCATCAGATGACTGCCGAGGGAGAGCATGGTGATAAGAAGCGAGGGAAAAAGTGATAAGAAGTGCTGAATGAATGACAAATGACAAAAAAAGGTGTGACTAAGTTTTGCAGTAGTGAAAATGACGTGAACTTTACTCGTTACCTGAACTGACAAGGTTTTTCATTTTACAAATCATAAAATGCAAAATTTTTGCGGGCATTTCGAACTTTGTTGTTGTACTCTAGTTCTAAAAAACGCCTCATTTTACTTATTGATTACCACTTATTTTGCAATTCTTCCTGTTTCTCTCCACTGTGTTCTGCCCATGTTTTCCCCCATCTTGACCGTCCTGCTGCTCTTTAGCGGCCTCGCCCTGCTGCTGATCATCCTCCACCTCGGAAAGGGGGCGGGAAAAAGTCGATCATCAAAGAAGGCATCATCGAAAAAGAGCAAAAAGAGTGGGCGAGGTAGTGGCGGAGGTGGTATCGGTGGTGGAAAAGACGACTCCGAAGACGTCCGCGGCTGCTGCGCCCTCTGCCTCGCCCTCTGCGGCATCTTCTGCTGTCCGCCCTGTCCGTGCTGCATCGTCAACAAACTGGCCTTCCACCCGCCCTCCTCTGCCAGCTACTCCATCTCCTCGGGAGGCGGCAAAAGCTCAAGTAACAAAGGCAAAGGAGGCGGAGGCGGATCTTTTAAACCGGGCCCCGCCGCTCGGTGGCCATTTAGCTCTCAGGATCTAGGCACCATCAGCGCCTTCAGCGTGAAGACCGCTTCCGGGCAGCGGGTCGCCTGCATGTACGTCCCTGGAGAGGTAATTTTTCGACTTTTAAATAGGAGTTTGATCATTTTTTAATTCCTATTCTTCTCTAGAGTCGAGCCAAGTACACGCTGCTCTTCTCGCACGGCAACGCCAGCGACCTCGGTCAGATGGCCAGCCTGTACTTTCTCTTCACTCGCCTACTGCCGGTGAACATCTTCTCCTACGACTACGAGGGCTACGGCCTCTCCGGTGGCCGCCCCTCAGAGTCGGCCCTCTACGAGGACGTGGACGCCGCCTACAAGGCGCTGGTCGAGCGGATGGCCGTCCCTCCGAAGCGGATCGTCCTCTACGGACAGTCCATCGGCAGCGTGCCCACCATTGACCTCGCCTCGAGGTAAACCACCAAAGGAGTGGAGATCTAATTTAGAAATTCGGGAGCTTCGATAACTCCTTTTTCTCTCTCATCACCCCTTCAACCAGAACAAAGCACATCGCGGGCGTCATCGTCCAGTCGGGCCTAGCCTCCGCCTGCCAGGTGCTCTGTCCCACCAGCTGCTGCCACGCCCTCAGCTGCAACGCCTTCGCCAACGAGGCAAAGATCGCCGAGGTGAACGCCCCCGTCCTGATCGTCCACGGCACCGCCGACGAGGTCATCTCCGTG